GTTCCATGCCGTGAGTTTGTCGACCTCGATCTCCTCCGTCCCGTTGTTGAACATGAAAGATATATAGAAGCCCATACGTTTGTAGTACGTAGTCGTTTAGGGCTGCATGGGTCGGGTCTCTCTTGTTAGCCCAATACCACTCTTTTCTAAACCCTAGTTGTTATTCGTAGAAGGGTGAAGAGAGCTATATATGTAAGCTTGTAATCGACTGCGAAACTACAATAAGAAGCTGAGATAGCATAACTTCTCCGTGGAGTAAGCTCATTCACACTGAATGAGAAGAACCACGTAAACATCGTGTCACTGTTTTCTTTTCGCATCTTACGATTCTTTCATGGTATCAGAGCGGGTTCTCTAGATCAAGGCTTTCACGATGACCGACGGAACTAGCGGCAATGAGCGCATCTTAACCAACGTTAGCAGCGGCAGCGGAGGCCAACAAATCCCTTCGACTATTCCCGCGGTGTTGAGGATGCAGCCATCGGACAATCCCGGTCAACTCTTTGTCGGGGAGTTGCTGAGCGACTCCAATTATGGGGAGTGGGTGACCGATATGACGGAAGCCCTAATCGCCAAGAATAAGCTTGGTATAGTCAATGGGGAGGTATTGAAACCCGAAGCAGATGGTGAACTCAGGGACGCCTGGCTGCAGTGTGATGCCCTGGTTAAGGGCTGGCTGAAAACGGCTATGGACAAAGAAGTCCGAAGTTCGATCCGATATGCTAAAACGGCTCGAGAGATTTGGCTTGATTTGGAAGTACGTTTCGGCAAGGGATCTGCGCCTCGAGCATACGAACTTCGACAGCAAGTGAGCTTACTACGACAAGAAAAGCTAAGTATCTCTACCTTTTTTACTAAGCTTCGTGCCATTTGGGAAGAGATGCAGATGATTACACCTATTCCAAGGTGCACTTGTGGTCACTGTACATGTGACGTGGGTAAGCAGGTCATGAACAATATAGAGAGTGACCGGCTTTTTGATTTCTTAATGGGGCTGGGGGAGGCTTTCGGAACCGTCAAGACACAAATCTTGGCTATGAAGCCAACGCCCACGCTTGCAGAAGCTTATAGGCTAGTCTCAACTGAGGAACAGCAACAACAAATTGCCGCAAACAGAAGACCTCAAGTCGAGGCGGCCGCCTTCCAAACTCATTATGATCGTGACTCCACGGATTCTAGCAAAGGAGATAATCGTGGAAAGGGTGCTGATCGTAAAGAGCGTCCCAAGTGTAGTCATTGTCATCGCATTGGCCATACCAAAGAAGCTTGTTATCATCTCATTGGTTGGCCGGAGAGGCGACCTCGTTCGGAAGAGAGGGACGAGAAGCCTCGCGGTGGGCGTCCGAATAGGCCGCGTGCAGCTCAGTCTTCGGCAGCAGCAGGTGTCACCATTCCAGGACTTAACTCTGAGCAGGTCCAACAGCTCCTTCAGTTTCTCGGACAAAATGCCCATTCCGGGTCTGCCCATCAATCTTTCGGGGAAGCCCAAGTGAATATGGCAGGTAAACTTCTCTCTGGTTCGGAATGGATCATCGATTCAGGATGTAACGAATATATAATTAATGATGATAGTATGCTAGAGAATTCAGAAGAAGTATCTGGTTATCTTCCGGTGAGTATTCCTAATGGGGATCGCATTGGCGTCAAACGCATTGGTGAGGTTAATTTAGCAAATGGAATGAAGCTCAGTCGTGTTCTAAGTATTCCATTATTCAAATGCAACCTCCTCTCGGTCAGCAGACTTACTCAAGACTTTGATGTGGTTTTGATTTTCTTACGCGACTTTTGCGTTATTCAGGACTCACGTTCCAAGAAGATGATTGGGACGGGACAACTTCGTGATGGATTATATTATCTGCGACTGTTTGGTGTCCAGGAATCTCAAGCCTTGGTGACCAAAAGTGAGACGGCAGTTGGGGAGTTGTGGCACTCTCGGTTGGGTCATCCATCACAGCACAAGGCTTCTTTTTTACTTCGTTCGGTTAAGAATAACTGCAAGGTTGATACTTGCGATTCTTGTATGCGTGCTAAACAGACACGTTTGCCTTTTCCTAAGAGTTCGATACGAACTAGTCGTTGTTTTGAGGTTATTCATGTGGATATTTGGGGTGGTTTCAAAGTCCCCACTCAGAATATTGCTCGATATTTTCTCACTATAGTTGATGATTTTAGCCGAGCCACTTGGATTTATTTGATGAGTTACAAATCCGATGTCGAAGGCTACTTAAAGATGTTCATCAACATGGCTTCTAATCAGTTTGGACAACAGGTAGCTCGCATCCAGGCTGACAATGGTTTCGAGTTTCAGACTGTTGGATTGCGTTCTTTTTATGATGAGCGTGGCATTATACTGCAGACCTCGTGTACCGACACGCCTCAGCAGAACGGTGTTGTCGAACGAAAACATCGCCACCTACTCGAGACAGCTCGAGCTCTCATGTTCCGTGCCAATCTTCCGGTTCGATTTTGGGGAGAATGTGTGCTTACAGCCACGTATCTCATCAATCGGATGCCCTCGAAAGCCTTGCAGAATCGAACTCCCTACGAGATTCTTCTTAAGAAAGCGCCATCTTATGCACATCTCCGAGTATTTGGGTGCCTGGCCTATGGCAAAGACACGCACAAGAACCTTTCAAAGTTTGGTGATCGGGGTCGACGTTCAGTTTTTATGGGATATCCTGCTTTCCAGAAGGGGTACCGCTTGTATGACTTGGGCACGAAGACCTTCTACACATCCAGAGATGTCCATTTTGTTGAAGACAGTTTTCCTTTTGCTGCTCCAACTTCTACTGCACCAATTGTTTCGCTTCATCCCTCTCCTCCTCACATTCCTGTTCATGTTGATGGCCTGCCTGAACATCATGAGGAGCCACCAACTGCCGTCCCGGTCGAGCCGCCTTCAAGGCCCTCCTCGTCCGAGCCTTCAGCTTCTGCCTCTTCTCCACGAGCAGCTGCTGATTCCTCCCCTCCCAGTCCGGATATCGAGCCTCCATCGGATGCTCCTCGTCGCAGCTTGCGGACACGTCAAGTTCCCAAGAAGCTTGAGAACTTTGACGTTGAGCTTCCACCTTCCAACATTCCTTATCCCATGACCAATTATGTCACTTATGAGCGCTTCTCTCCTTCTCACCGGAGCTTTTTGGCGGCTGTTTCTAGTCAAACAGAACCCGTCCATTTCCGCGATGCAGTGCAATATCATGAGTGGCGTATGGCTATGAAGCGTGAAATTGCTGCTTTAGTTGACAATGGCACTTGGTCCCTTGTTGAATTACCTCCCGGAAAGAAGGTTATAGACTGCCGGTGGGTTTATAAAATTAAATACAAGCCGGATGGAAGCATCGAACGGTACAAAGCACGGCTTGTTGCAAAAGGTTTTACGCAGACTGAGGGCATCGACTATCACGACACTTTTGCCCCGGTCGCTAAGCTAGTAAGTGTTCGTTGCCTGCTTGCCATTGCGGCTGTCCGGGGTTGGGCAGTTCACCAACTCGACGTCGACAACGCCTTCCTCCATGGCGATCTCCAGGAGGAGGTTTACATGCGAATTCCCCCCGGCTTTGCTGATCGAGGAGATTCTCGTGTTTGTCGTCTGCATAAATCAATCTACGGGTTGAAACAGGCTTCCCGGAACTGGTATGCTAAGTTTGCTTCCACCCTGTTGGATTTGGGTTTTCAGCGTTCTCGGGCAGATTACTCTCTTTTTGTTCGCCGTCATCGGGGCACGTACGTTGTCGCCTTAATCTACGTTGACGATGTTATTCTTGCTGGAAATGACTTGGATTTCATTGAGAAGGTGAAAGATACTCTTCACCGTCAGTTTGGTATAAAAAATTTGGGTCCTCTAAAATATTTCTTGGGTATCGAGGTGGCTCGTTCCCAGGCTGGCATCACCCTCTGTCAACGCAAGTATACCATGGATCTATTGCGTGACAGCGGCCTGTCAGGTAGTCGTCCTAGCATTTTCCCCATTGAACAGCACCACCAGCTTACTCGTCCTCCGGATGATGCTAGTACACCTGTCTCTGCTGATGATGCCGCCGCCTATCGTCGGTTGATTGGCCGTTTGCAGTACCTCACTGTCACTCGGCCGGATATAGTTTATGCGGTTAACATTCTCAGCCGCTATGTCCATGCTCCCACTCCCGCTCACCTCGACGGTGCTGCGCGTGTGCTTCGCTACCTCAAAGCAGCTCCTGGTCAAGGTATTTTCCTTCCCTCTACTGGTCCTTTACAATTAACTGCTTACTGTGATGCAGATTGGGGAGGGTGTCAATCGTCTCGCCGATCGACTTCTGGCTACTTCATTACCTTAGGGGCTGCGCCGGTTTCCTGGCGTACCAAAAAGCAGACTGTTGTTGCGCGTTCCTCCGCTGAGGCTGAATATCGCGCTATGGCCAGTGCCACCAGTGAAGTGATTTGGCTCCGTGCTCTCCTTCGTGAATTAGGAGTGTCCTCCGACCAGCCTACTACTCTTCGCTGTGATAATCAAGCCGCTCTTCACATCGCGGCTAATCCGGTGTTCCACGAACGTACGAAGCACGTTGAGTTAGACTGCTATTTTGTTCGTGATCATGTCACTTCTGGTGCCATTCTTCCTCAGAAGGTTTCCTCTCAGGCTCAACTCGCCGATCTCTTCACTAAGGGTCTGACTGGTGACCGGTTTCATGCACTCTTATCCAAGCTGGGCATTTGTAATCTGCATGCCTCAGCTTGTGGGGGAGTGAAAGATATATAGAAGCCCATACGTTTGTAGTACGTAGTCGTTTAGGGCTGCATGGGTCGGGTCTCTCTTGTTAGCCCAATACCACTCTTTTCTAAACCCTAGTTGCTATTCGTAGAAGGGTGAAGAGAGCTATATATGTAAGCTTGTAATCGACTGCGAAACTACAATAAGAAGCTGAGATAGCATAACTTCTCCGTGGAGTAAGCTCATTCACACTGAATGAGAAGAACCACGTAAACATCGTGTCACTGTTTTCTTTTCGCATCTTACGATTCTTTCAGAACAAGAAGAGACGGGCTTTTGTACCTGTTGCCAGCGTCGGATAAACCCTCGACGATATCACCGTTTTCCCTCCTTCCGCGAAGCTCTCCACCACCGAATGATCAATCTATAACATTCCATTCATTCATAACAACAATATCTTCAGTTCTCGATGACGTAAAAGTAATTTTACCAAACAGGCAAAAGTTTTTCAGAAAGTTACCAAGCTCCTCAGGGAAATCTTCTTGGTTTTAGACACGTCAACGTCCACATATCCAGCAAACGACGGCTTGTACAGCCCCTTGGCCAGGCTAGAACTGAAAGCAAACCAAAAACAGATCTATATCGCCCTCATAAAAAGAAATATTTAAAACAAGATAATGTGGTAGAGAAATTATAAAAAAAAATGGATGTTATTAACCTGGTGGCATCGGAGCAGAAGAGAACGACGTGCTTGCCGCCTTTCTTGAACACCCTGAACATGACCGGAGTGAACTCCTCGAGCTTCTCGGAGGCTACGGTGAGCAGCCCAAACGGCCCAAGCCCACCTGGAACGGTCGAGCCCTTCTGATGACAGACGTCTTGGGCCGGAATGTCGGCCCATTTGGGATCGAAGGGCTCAGCTCTGTCGAGGCTCCGGAATGAGAAGGTGACCACCACGTCAGCCTGGGCAGCAGTGGTCCCGTCTACTTCAACGTACTGTCCTTTCCTCAAAACTTTGGAGCTCAATTTACGTGGATTAGGACTTCTCAGTTTCTCCAGCTCTTCAATAGGCCACTGCAACAGTTGCTTCCCACTTGGGTCCAGCCACACCTTTCTCGGGATCAGCTGCAATGGTTAAATCACGATTTTATTACAAAATATTCTACCACATGTATAGTTGTAGATATGATTTCACAATCGTGGTTGTTTACCTGAATTCCGGCCCAACCCTTATCCTTATCACGGGCCTCGCCATCGGACTCGTTGGCCCAACCCCATAAAACCCTGCGGTGCTTCTTGTAGTCGAAGAACGATTTAGAAGCATAGAAGTTACCGTAGTCGTACCGGAGCCCGGCCCAACTGTCCACCGAGCCCAAATCCGGAACATACTTCTCCTTCTCCTTGTCGTACACTCCGATCGTGTAGTAATCGAACCTCGTCAAGTCCAAGCTGACTTTAAACACGTGCTTCACTTCCTTCCCCAACGCTGACGTGTCCAGGCCCCTCCGCCCAGTGGGCGAAACCGGGTAGAAATCGGGGCACTCCCACATCCCGGTTCCCCGAGCCGAGTGGAGCGGCTCTTTCGCCCTAACCCACTTCTTGAAGTCCTTGCTCGTGTACAGGTAAGCGACCCCGACCATGTCACGCTTGCTCCCGACCACGGTGTGCCACTCGCCGTTGACGAACCAGGCGGTGGTCGGGTCGCGGAAGGCGCTGGCGTTGACGGACCGGTCTGGGTTGATGAACGGGTTCCCCTTGCTGGGTTTGACCCAGGACCGGAGGTAAGGGTCGGAGAGGTTCGTGGGGACGGCGTAGTCTTGGACCTGGCGGTTGTGTTTGTCGACACCCGTGTAGAGGATGACGGGCTTGTTGCCCGGGAGGATGGTGGCGGATCCGGACCAGCAGCCTTTGATGTCGAAGGGCTTCGTGGCCTCGATTGCGGGCTCCAGGGCCTGCCAGTTGATGAGGTCCTTGGATACTGAGTGGGCCCATACGATGTTTCCCCAGACTGAGCCCTTGGGGTTGTATTGGTAGAACAAATGGTACAAGCCGTTGAAGTACATTGGGCCTGGGTGGGAATTTGGCACTAAATTGTTAATTTCTTTCCGCAAGTGACAAATGTTGAAGAACAGGAATGTAGAAAGATGGGCTTCTGACTTACCATTTGGATCTGTGGGCCCATTATTGACAGTTTGGAACATCCATGACCATCACATGGTGTGACAAAGGAGAAAACAACACAAGTAGGTGAAACTTTAGTCAAGAGAACTTGGGATCTCCATAGTGCAATTCTAATTTAATAGTACGAGCTGGTATGATTTTCTTGACTTACCAAATGTATGTGATGTTTTGGTTTTTTCTTTCTTTTTTTTTCATTTCGATTTCGGTGGATGAGATTTAATCGATCTGTAGTGCTCGAAAAGGTCCAACGAGAATCTAAGCCATTTGTTGAGTCACAAAGGGTTCAGTAAGGTAGTATGGAAACAATGCTTTTCTAACCCGCATGCTAATGGTCGCCAAACATAGAAACCTCCAGCTAGTTTTTCAACCATGTAAAGCCAATAACCACTACCGCCACCAATCCCTCATCTCGAAGCCATTTTCCACTTGGAAGCAGGCTTTAGATAAACTTCTTTTACCTTACTATCACTGCAACTGTGCAAATTTTAGGCACTCCCCACTAACAAGTTCTCTCAAAGTTTGGGGGCTATGGAAAAGAGATCCAGCCCTGATTCCACCAACCCAACCTATTGCAGTGTGAAGAAATGTTTTTTGACAATTCAGTGGGGGTGAAAAATGACTATACATAGCATGGATAGAAAGCTGCAACCCTAATTAATTTACTTTTATTTTTTCACTAAAGAAATCAAATACATAAGACTAGGGGGAAAAATAAACCTTTTTATCTATATCAAGTGTTATAAGTCCAAAAAATATATGAACAAGTGCTATGAGTTGCTAAATCCGATGTTAAATGGAATGCCTATGATAGGGTGAATCTGTGTTCTAAATCTTGTTTTTAATATGATTTGATTATGATTTAATGTTTGCCTACATTATGATGGTATATGGAAGAAATTAAACAAACAAAGATGCTCAATCTGGTCATAAAGAAAAGATGCTCATTTTACGGTTTAGCCAGAATTTTATATAAGTGGTCCACTTTTTTACAAATAAATAAATATATCTTATATGAGAAATTACTAATTTTTTGCAATGAGTCACAATATTTTTCTATCCTAATAAAAATTGTGATATATATAAACTACGAAAGACCTCATTGTCAATATATCTTACCAACTAATTATTCATAATTTTGTTAATCATTCCAATTCATGGAGAGTTACGCTGAAGTCATTCTAGTAATCATGGATAGCTGACGAACATCGGTTGGAATGGAATGATAGAGGAGAGCGACTTAGCGACCATGTTTGAGAGGAAGAGTTTCGTCTTTCATAAATTGATGGAATGGAAAAGGTAACATAGTTAGAACTTAGATGTTTGAACCCCCAATAAATTGGTCTACTGATATTTTGAGACGATAAGAGCCATCACCCGTTTGGACTAAGAATTATCTAAAAATTACAAATTTAAAAGGTTAGATTAATTGTATGTGGTTTTTGTTTTGATTTATTTTATGTATCTACAAACTATGACTTAATCTATATAACTTAAATAATTTAAATGTATATTATTAACTTTTAGAAAAAACTAAGGACTATGGATAAGAAGTCTCTAACTCATTTTTAATCCTTGTTCTCCCAAGTCAAGGGTGTGCTAGGGAACTGCTCCCAAGTCCCAACACACTCCCTCCGACCCTACTTGTGATAACGGTAAAGCAATATCTACCGTAACATGTTGTGATAGATAAAATCACGAATTCGAATGGGGCTGACTTTAACTAAGTTATTTGAAAGAGAAAAGCTAACCTCTTATCGATTATTCTATTTCCTACAAAAATTATGAATTTTACTTATAATTTAAATTTGAGTGAGTTAAAGTCCTTCCTGACTTTACCTAGCTCCTTCACTGGGTAAAGCACAAATGAGTCACCAACTCTTCTTGTCTAACACAAAGTTGTAAGTTATATAATCTCTTATTTACCTTTTTTTTTTCTAAGAAATGTGTATTTTTATATGAGTCCTATAATTTCTTAAGAAAATTGGTATCTTCTCATGTTATCCCCCGTTTTGCAGTTAACATGCATATATAAGGTCGTTATTACATGGAGGAAAACTAGATCTGAAACCACCATTATATGACACATTAAAAAAATACCGTTGATCCAGTGCTTAGGAGGCTGGAAATGGTAGCCGGTCCGGTGAGTTTCGTCGACCTTCTCGGCGGGGAGAGACTGCAACTCCGGGTACACTTTGTGTGAACCTTGGACGCCGATAATCATCGCCGCCACCACGACGCAAAATGCGGCGACATGCAACGACGTCGCCGTCGAAGAACGAAGCTTTTCCCCACACATCATTGATTCCCAGTTTCTTTAGTCTACTTTACACCGCAGTAACTCGGTGGTTTCTCTCCGTTTCTTTAGAGAGGCGAAGGAAGCGGGTTGGGATCGGAGTCTATTTATAGAGAAGAGCCGACTCAGTAGTTAGCAGTAACTTAGTATTTACTGACTGAAATTCAAAACGAACACAGTAACTTTTTTTTTTTTTTTTTTTTTTTTTGGAAAAAGGAGGAGGTTTGAGTGTTTTTGCTGTGGGACGATTCCAGTCAGTTAGACCCATTTGTCATTTACCCTCTGGATAAATGTTGCCATTTTCAGAGAAGTGGAACAGATTGGGGAAACAAACAAAGCACTGGCTGATATTTAATCTTCTGTTTTTATATTAGGTATTTAAATAAATTCTTAATTTCTCACCCTTTTTTCTCAAAAACAACTTTCTCGTATGGGCTAAAAAAAGATACCCTTGAAGGGATAGAACGATGGTCTTTGGAGAGGAGGTAAAAGTATTTTTTTTTATAATTGAGGAAATTTTATTCATCAAAAAAAAAATTTATTAATTTAAATTTTTTAAATTTTTTAAATTTTTAAATTTTAAATACCACTAGTCATGAACCTGGAGGTCTTAGGTTCGAGTCCCTTCAGTAGTACCTAATAACAAAAAAAAAAAAAGTAACATATATCACCCTTATCTAAAAAAAAAAAAAAAAAAAAAATTTATTAAGACGAACAAAAAGAAAATAAGACAAAAATTCAACCAACAGTTGAAAGGAGCAAGGAAAGAAACAAAACGGAAAACATTAAGAAAAATCCCAAAGATGGGACGAAAACTCAAACCAAGAACGACACAGAAAGAGAAGACTAAAAAAATAAAATAAAAAACGCTCCTCAAGTGATACTACATTACAACAAAAAGACACTCAAGAACAAAAACTATCTAACTAGTGGATAATATCCGGAACCATTCCTGGCACACGTCATCTGTAATCAACTTTCGAGCGAGCATCCATCTCCTAACCGAATGAATGATCTTATAGCAAATGCTTCGTGGTGGTGACTCTGTATCTCTGAAAACCCGATGGTTTCTTTCCAACCAAATAAGCCAAAACACAGCACGAGGAAGAAACCTCTTGCACCTATTAAATCGAGAAAGACGAACCGCACTTCTCCATGCTAACAAAAACATCTTCGGGTCCTCTGGAAATGGCCCAAAGATTGAAAAGACCTTCTGGAAGGTAGACCAAATAGTAGAGGCAAAAGGACATCAGAAAAGAATGTGACAGACGGACTCCTCATTGCACTTACATAATGGGCATCGGTTAGGGAAAGTCATGCCTCTTCTACGAAGATTATCCAACGTAGATACCTTGTTATGAGCCGCCATCCACACAAAGCAACAAATTTTAGAAAGAACGAGAGGGATCCAAATAAGCTTGTGGGGGAAGGAACTATCTCCCTTGAATTGATCCTGTATGAGCTTGGTAGCAAAAGAGTGCACAGAGAATCCCCTCAAACTCTCGAGTGGCCACACCAAAGATGGAGGCCCAGCGGTAATCAACAAGGGATTGAGAGTTGAGAGGAGCTTCATTAGATCGAAATACTCCTGATGTGCACCTCCTCGTAGTGCAATGGTAAGGGGAATTGTTTGAAACAACCTGCCATCCACATCAAACATGTCAGAAACATACACGTCTAAGGATTGTGTAGCTGCTGCAATCCTTGGAAATTCTCTCGCTAAGTGTTTCCCAGGAATCCACACATCATGCCAAAAAGAACCCCCATTCTCTCCCCCAGGATCAATATAGGCAAACTTCCAAAAGAAAGAACCCTAATTTACAATATACTTCCATACAAACCATCCGGAAGAACCCAAATTCCACCATTGGTGCCAATCGGACTCACCTCTCCCACATTTCATCACAATTAACTTCCTCCACCATGCATCTCTCTCCATGCCGAATCTCCACGCCAACTTTCCCAATAATGCACGGTTCATGACCCTCATATCCAAAACCCCTAAGCCACCCCGATTAAAAGGGGTTTTCACCACCTCCCAACGAACAAGGTGCAACCGTTTAGTCTCTCCTGTACCCGACCATAAAAAATCATTGAAAAGCTTTTCCAGTCTAGCAATAATTGTAGCAGGAGCTTTAAAGAGGGAGAGGAAGTAGATAGGCAAACTGGACAACACACTTTTAAGAAGAACCAACCTTCCACCAAAGGAGAGAAATCTCGTCTTCCATGATGTTATTCTAGATTGAACTCTAGTAAGAACCGGTTCCCACACTGCAATTGAGGAGGCCCGTGTACCTAAAGGTAGCCCAAGATAGTTGCGGGAATAGTTTCAACATCGCACCCAAAGATCCTTGCAAAGCGAAGAGGATCTGACACCTCTCCAACCACCATCATCTTACTCTTGTGTAAATTCACCTTGAACCCCGACACAGTTTGGAAGATAATGAGAGCTGTGAGAATATACTGAACCTGTTCTTCCGATGCATCACAAAAAATCATGGTATCATCTGCATAAAGGATATGAGTAACCTCCCCCATCTGTGTTGTCTCGCCCATAAAGAAACCAATTACCATCCTTGTGCTCGAAGCATCCTAATGATCCCGGATAAAATCTCCATGACAAGAATAAATAGAAAGGGTGATAGGGAGTCACCCTGACGAAGCCCTTTCTCACTAGAAAAATATCATGAGGCCTCCCCATTAAAAAGAACAGAGAAGGTAGTTGTAGAGATACAACTCTTAATCCATGTTATCCAAGTGATTGGAAATCCCATGCTCTTCATTGTAGATAACAAACACTCCCAATTGACATTGTCATAAGCTTTCTCAATATCCAATTTGAAAACCAACCCCGATCTTCCACTTCTCTTTCTAGAATAAATCAGCTCATTAGCGATCAAAGAAGCATCCAAAATCTGTCTATGCCCCACAAAAGCACATTGTTCCTCAACAACTAATTCACCCATGAACTCCCGCATGCGCTCCATAAGCACTTTGGAAAGGATCTTGTACAAACTGGAAACCAAACTAATAGGTCTTAAATCTTTTATATCCTCTACAACCTCCTTTTAGGAATAAGACATAAGAAGGTAGCAATGACCATCTTGGGGAGAACACTTGTACGATGAAACTCATTCAAAGCCTTTAAAACATCTTCCTTCACGATGTCCCAATGTCTCTTAAAGAAAATCATTGGAAATCCATCTAGTCCTGGTGCTTTATCTCCCGAGAACTTCTTTACTACATTCCAAATCTCTCCTTCTAAGAAAGGCTGCACAAGACTATCATGAGTATGTGATGGCAGAGAAGGGAAAGCCAACAATGAAGGAAAAGGCCTCTCACGTATGTCTTCAGAAATATTGACCCACAATAGCATTGGAAACTTCTTCTTGGCCCACACATATGGACCCATTTACCATAATTTTATCAACAAAATTTCTTCTTCTATTCTGGTTAGCCACTCGATGAAAAAATACGGTATTCTGGTCACCCCACTTCAACCAAGTTTCTCTAGATTTCTGTCTCCAAGACATCTCTTCTCTCTTCCACAATCTATCCAAATGACATTTCAAAAGAGCTCGTTGAGTCCTTTCTTACTCACCCATCCTTCCACTTTCTTCTAATGCATCCAACATAGAAACCAATTCCAATGTCAATCTGATCTCCTCATCCACCCGTTTAAAAACTTCTTTATTCTACACTTTTAAAGAAGCTTTCAATTGTTTCAACTTCTTTGAACATAGAAAGAAATATCCATACCCTGTAATTGCCGACTCCCACCACAGTTTGAGTTTATTGGCAAAATCCTCATGATCAAACCACATCGTCTCAAATCGCCAAGGACTTAGCAGAATCCTTTCATCACCACACGACACCAATAAAGGAAAATGATCCGAGCATACACTGGTGAGAGCCCTCAACTTACATTCAGGAAAAGATTGATCCCATTGTGTCGAAATAAGTGCACGATCCAATCTTGAAAAAGAAGGCCCCTCCCTGAAGTTAGACCATGTAAATCGAGCTCCCAACAGAGGCAAGTCTATCAACTCACGATCATTGATAAAATCATTAAAAAGATTCATCTCTGCCACACTCCTAGCTTCCCCAACCACTTCATCTTGAGAACGAACCACATTAAAATCGCCAACAATACAAGAAGGAAAATCTCACCAATTCAAACAAGCATTTAATTCAGCAAAGAATGCTCGTCGCTCATTTGCAGCACAAGGACCGTACACATTAATGAGAAGCCAAGTAGTATTGGTTGCCCTATGTCTCAACACCACCACCACACAATACAATCCAATCCACTTCCCCTGAAGTTCAAAATCATCCTTATCCCAAGCAACAAGAAGACCCTCTGACAAGCCGACCGATGATTTTTCCACCCACTCTAAATTACGGTTATTGCACACAAAAGAAACCATAATATCATCCCATTCTTCAACTTTTGTTTCCTGTAGGCACACAACATTTGGTTTATGCATGTCCAACAATTCTCTAATCCTATACTGCTTATCCGAATCCCGCACACCTCTAACATTCCAAGATACCAATCTAAGCATCATGATGAAAGCGAAGAGGTGGTACAGACCTTGACCTTCTTCTTTGACCACGTGGATACACAATGGTCCCCTCGACCTCAATCCGACGAAGTTCCATATCTTGCGGGGTACGGGGTTGCACGGTCCTTCTTTTGGATAGTGTTTCAACTGTTGTCATCTTCGCAATCGCATTTGCCTCTTCTATCGATTCGTCGCTTTTTTGAATTTTTAGAATTTATTACAAAATTTACATGTAAATTTACGTACATTCGAAAGTTGAAGAGAGTTCTAAGCTCCCCTGGGCTTAACATGCCTCCGCCACTAGCGAGAGATGAGCTTCGTTAAATTGTTTTTTGGATGTGATAGTTTATTTATATGCATAAGATGTGGTTGTTCAAGTCCTCGTAATAACTCGAGTTATTGAATATTATAGTTGTTTTCTCTTAGAGATAACGTGTTCAAAACCTGAGAACCTCATATATTAAACATTGTCTTAAATCACATGGTAGGACTGGACACTTAAAATCAATGAGAAGGAAAAAAAAAGACATCTAGTCACCACAATTCAAACATTGTTGTGCCTAACCTATATTTAATTTAGGTTTCTCGAGATGCAAGTTGTGTGTATTATCACGTATAAAAATTGAAATAGTCAAAATTTTAA